TATTAATATGACTCAGAAACAGGATAGAAGTAAAAGGTGCCATTTCCTATGTGTAAATGGAAAACCTATGAAATTGAGGGCTGAAAATCTCTTGTGATTGCATTGACAGACCATGAAAATAGCAGGATCTACTTGTAGAGACTGACTTGAATGAGGTAAAGATCCAGTATCAGTCCCAGCAGACACTCTGTGTGAAGTTAGTTTGTACAAGGAACTGCTGCAGATGTAACGAAATATCTAAATGCTCCTTCAGAAACTGTGTCTTTGGGAACCTGTTTTTACCTTTAAAGGGCCAGACAGGGCAGAAAAAGGTATATTCCCTTGCTTTTTAGTAAACCACTCCTAGAAATAAGGAACCTTTATTGAGTTTGTGTGATAGCTTCTGTAAGAAGCTGCCAGAAACTTTCCCCGATGTCTGACAGAGGCAATGGCAGCCAGCTACCAGAGACCTGCTGCTGGTCAATGTCAAGCCCATCAGCAGTGGTGGTAGTTCCTCTAGGATAACGGATTTAAGAAGGAGAAAAAAAAATCCTGTTCTACAATCTGCAACTGGGAGAGAGGAGTGAGAATATGCGACAGAAATAGCTCTGTAGATGCCAAAGTCAGTGAAGAAGGAGAGGAGGTCGTGATCCAGGTGCTGGAGCAGAGATTCCCCTGCAGCCCCTGGTGCAGATCATGGGGAGGCAGCTGTGCCCCTGAAGCCCAAGGAGGTCCACAGTGGAGCAGAGATCCACCTGCAGCCTATAGGGGACCCCACACCACAGCAGGGGATGCCTGAAGGACACTGAGACCTCATGGGAAGCCTGCACTGGAGCAGACTCCTGGTAGGACCTGTGGACCCATGGAGACCGAAGCCCATGCAGGAGCAAGTTTGCTGGTAAGACTTGTGACCCCACGGGATACCCACACTGGAAAAGCCTGTTCCTGAAGGACTGCACCCCATGGAAGGAACCCATGCTGGAACAGTTCATGAAAAACTGTTGCTCATTGGAAGGACTTACGTTGGAGAAAATTGTGGAAGACTGTCTCCTGTGGGAAGAGTCCCACAATGGCACAGTGAAAGAGCATGAGCATTCACCCCTCTGTGGAGGAAAGAAAAGTAGAAATGGCATATGGTGAACTGCCCGCAACCTGTCCCCTTGCACCACTGTGCAGGAGGAGGTAAGAAAAAGTCAGGAGTGAAATTAAGCCCAGGAAGAAGGGAGGGGTGGCAAGAAGGTGTTTTAAGATGTATTTTTATTTCTCATCACCCTAATTTGATTAGGAATAAATTAAGCTAAGTTCCCCTAGATGAGTCTGTTTTGCCCATGATGGTAACTGGTGAGTGATCTCTCTTTGCCCTCATCTCAACCCATGAGCCTTTCATTGTATTTTTTCTACCCTGTCCAGTTGAGGAGGAGAAATGGTAGGGTGGCTTTGGTGGTACCTGCCATCCAGCCAGGGTTGCCTCACCACATAACTGTATTACTTTGAATATGGAAAGAATAGGCAAGTGCCAGGGACCCTGCCAAAACCTGATGTTTTCTTTAACCACTGGTAAGTATCTAACCCCTTGGAAGCCACAGTTCTCTGTCACAACTAGAGCAGAGATTGGGCTGGAGATAGCTGAGGCCATAGGAGAATGAAGGCATCACAATTCAGCGCTCCTCCAGCAAAAGCTGCCTCTTCTGCACTTGGGTCATGGTGCACTGCCACTTAACACTAATGTTTCTGGGCTTTGTTTTAGTGGGAAATGGCTATTCTCCTGCAGCTGTCATTTGCTTGGAACCCACGCAGGCATGCCTGGACTAGGCTGGTGAAAGAGAAGCATAAGCTTCTCTCTGAGGGCTTTTGGAGGAGCTGGAAGATAATGGTAGAGCTCTCTGGAAAATGGAGTTTTAACATAGTGAAAAAACTATTTTGATGTTATTGTCATTTGGAATTAGAGTATAAAGAAAATATTAGAAAGCGTCAAGGAAAGACATTTTTCTCAGAAAACAAACTGGATGAAAAACTGTCTGGCGGTCGGTCAAAAGTGGTGTTTCCCAGGACTCATCATTGTGGCCAGACTTGTTTAATATCTTTATCAACGATTTGGACAAGGGATTAAGAATGGATATTATGAAAAATTTTTTCACTGAAAGGGTTGTCAAACACTGGAACAGCCTGAGCAGGGAAGTGGTGAAGTTGCTATCTCCAGAAGTATTTAAAGGGTGTGTAGATGTGGCACTCTGGGACATGGTTTAGTGGTGGACTGGACACTGCTGAGTTAGCAGTTGAACTTTATAATCATAAAGGTCTTTTCCAACCCAAACGATTCTATCATTTTATGATTCTATGATATATATTCAGAATGAAGCATTTCAGTATTGTGAAAGGAAACAGTGAATTGCAGTGTCAACTTACTGATGAAACCATTTGTTTCAAACAGTATGTACGAAGAAGTGTTTTTTAAGGGCTATTCAAAGATTTAAATATTTTAAAGACATAAAAATTTCCTAAATTCTAAGGAAATCAGATTTTCTGAGAAAAACAATATCTTGTATTACCTAGAAATCCTTTGTGCATCTTTTAAGGGGAGCTTATGGAGCAGCAAATATGAAGATTCCCATTGTATTCTCACCTCTGTTGGTGTCAATCAAGTTCACATCTCTCAAACTTAAGGGATTTAAATTGATATAAAACTTGTTTGAGGATAGAAACAGGCTTGAAGCTTAGAACAATTAAAATCTAACTGAGGAGCACAATACGTTGAAACTGAAAGCAAATGCATGTTTTCAATAGTCAGGGACAAATGCTGCAAAGGTAGACAATTACAGTTAAATGTACAAAGAAAATGTACCGATTTGTTCCTTTCAGGGAAATTAGGTTGTATGGTCTTCATTAATTGGAATACACACAGCTAAAACTAATAAGCAAGTAAAGAAATAAATAAATGATCAGTGCCATGACTATTTTGTGTATCATGGCAATCCACCCAAAATTGTTTATTCCATCATTGTTGCTGTTTGTTTACCTTCTGAATTATGTTCATAGCTTAATGAAAACTGCCACCCCAGGTTTAGTTCCTTAATGAAATACATAAGTACAAGTGACGCAAGTTTGGGACAATATATGTATTGATACCAAATATTCAGTTGTCTGCACTCAGTGTCCACTTTTGTGCCTAAATATATGTGATGTTGTTCTGTTACAGTAGCCTCTGTTCTTCTGTATCTTCAGTGTTTTCCATAATATTTGTAGCCCAGTGTTTGGTCAATATCAGAGATATACAGATTTAATTATGTCATCCCTTGTGTTTGAAAGAGTCTCATTTTCAGATTGGATTAATCTCTTCTGCCTTCCTTTTCTTGCTCTCTGGTTTTGTCTGTCTTTGTTTTGTACCGGTCACCTCACCCTATTTATTTCTGATGCTCTGTAGGTGCTTTATTTATGCAAAATTTAATCTTAGAGTCTCAGCTTTCTTCCCCAATCTCATTTGGTGTGGTGGACATAAAACAGGAAGATTTAGATCTGTAGTTGCAGGTATGTGTCTGATCTGAATAAAATTTTTCTTAGTTTTCTTATTGAAAAAACGAGTTGGGTTTTCTTTAAACTGTCTCATGCTTCTTATGGTAAACATTTGCTGTTGGGGCATGGGGAAGGTTGATGGTTTTGAACCATTAACTATAACCAGAGGGCAGATGTTTGTGTGTTCCTGTGATGCCCCTAGCAAGGAAATCTTTCTAGGCAGTGTTTCTCTCAGGGCAGCTTGTCGCAGCCTGGGGAAAGGTGGCAATTGTGGAGAGTCTTTATCAAGTTGCCTCTGTGTTGAGATGTAAATATTTTCATCTACTGCCTTTAAAAGGTCTATAAACCTCATGTCCTGACAACATAAAGGACTTCTGGTAATAATTCTGTTTTCCATCAGGGACCGTGGAGGCACTTTGCTTGTACTTGTCATTGCTTGGATGTTTGAAAAGGAAGATTGTTTATTTGTTGGTGTGGATGGTGATTTCTCATGAAGACATGGTTTTCCAGCCTCTCTCAAGTCTTCAAAATGACTCTGATTCTTCTGAGAGTCCAAAACTGGCTGATAAATGGGCTCACACGGCATATTTTTGCTTGATGGCTTAGGAGGCCCAAGGCGAACCAACAATTTGCCTGCAAAATTGGAAACTAAGTAGAATATAGGATAAATCAGATCATCTTCTGCTGGAACGATATTTTCAAGAAATTAACACGTTAATATCAAATCAGCGTCATCCCATCATAAAGTCAGTATTTGTAAAGGCATAGATAAAAGTGGATCTTGACATAGAATGAAATTTTACACCAAAGACTTAAAGCAAAGGGTGATCTGCAGGTAGTCAATCGTCACTTTTAGATTAGCATCTCAGCATAAATTTGTCTGACTTAATTTTAGTGACTACAGTAGAATCTTATAATATTCATATAATAGTTTGAGTTGGAAGGGACCTTACTGATCATCCCATTCCAACCCCACTGCAGAGATACCTTTCTCTAGACCAGGTTGCTCAGAAACCTGTCCAGCCTGGCTTTGAATACTTCCAGGGATGGGGCATTCACAACATTTCTGGGCAACCTATCCATTTATGCTTCTGGGGATATTTATCACATTAGTTTAACCATGTGAGTAGCTGTAGGAGTGCAATAGCTGGAGGAGAAATAATTCAGAACTGGATTTTAATTATCCAGTACTCTGCAACTTCTACATTTTTGAGACAACGGAAAATGATGCCAACACCTTATTGAATAGCTCATAGAACAGCTATTTGTAATTAGTATCTGCTGAGTAAGCACGGGATTAGGTGTTCACTTGTTGATTTTTTAACCTGATCAAAATTGTATCTATCATCAGACTTAAGCCTGGGAAACAATTGCTCAAAATACTTGTAATTTCAAAACTAAATGCAAAGATATTTCTAGCATTTCAGGAATTGTGTTCCCTTTCTTTTCCTTAGTCAAATACCCTTTTACTATTTTGGACTAAGACAGCAAGACTTTTTTCAGAAAATTACCTTTTGACAAGTTTTCTTGGTTTTCCAATGTAATTGCAATCTCATCTTCTTGAATAACATCTGGCACTGCCAGGGTTAGTAGAGAAGGAAATTCCTTATTGCCATGATTCCTGAGGTTTTCCAGAGCGTCCATTTCAACCTTCTGGAAAATCTTAATTTCTGACTCCTTAGTCAACTGTTTATCAGGATTAATACTGTGTTTTTCATTTTCCCTCTGTAAAATGATCAAACACCATTTGATTAGTAAGAGACAAAAAAGGCTCCTTAAACTTTAAAAAAACCCATAAAAAGCATAATATGTACAATGGGAAATCTTGTTTTTACACAAACCTTAGTTATGCATGTCAACATTTCATCTGAGCAGACCTCATGCCAGAGGTTCTTCCTGAAACCCAGTTGTACTTAGGCTGTCAGACCATTAATTTTACCACACAGACCCCAGGGAGGAAGTTTTCATGAAAATCCACTGGAGACCAGAATGCCATCTTTGGAGAGCCCATAGCACTTCGTTATGGTTATGGCTTATGGCTCACGGAGTCTCCTAACAGAAGTGTAAACAAGATCAAGGTATGACAGAGCTCGTGCTGCAAAACAAAAACCTTACGGAATGCTGTGAGCCACTCCTGATCCAGGAGGAAGATTGTCATGGGACTCTTGCTGTTTGCTGTGAGGGTAAGTAGTCAGCACAAGAGTAGACCAGATCTGGGAAAGTTTTGCAGTGGAATGGCAGCAGGAAGACCTCCGTGGAGCTGTTCATCCCAACAAGAAAATGGACTTGAGGACTCACTCCTTGCTGCAGTGGTGTTACCCTCACTCCTACAAGCATCCTCCGTGAAGAGGTTCTTGTCTGAAGGTTGCTTGTCTGTCCCATGATCCAAGTTTTCAGAGTCCTCACTGTGGCAGCCTCATACATGCCAAGTTTCAGGTATCAAAATCTTGTGAAAATGCAAGGACTGCACAGTGAAATAAACCCCTTCCTACAGAACTAACTCTTGTGATAAGATGATTGTGCCGTGCACTGCTTCTGTCATTGTGGTTTTAATCTAGGCCTTCCCTGGTTACCAGTTGGTAACCAAGGAAGGGGCAGTGTTCCCAGTATTCCATACAATTTTTACATAAATCGTGGTATAAATAAGAGAGGAGTAGCGGCCTTCGTTCTTCTTCTCTTCCGCCGGAGTTCAGGAACAGTGGGTCCCTGCGTTGGTCTCGCTTATCTAAGGCTGAGGCCTGCAGCATCCACTGACCTGCCACGAGGAAGCTTGGAGAGTGCTGGCAGTGTCTGCCAAGCCTGCTTTCTAAGGGACGTGGTGAGATTTGTTTTACTAGTTATTTTACTAGTTCTCGGGTTTGATTGTGCATATCTATTCGGCGTCCCTTTTTGTTTCCTTTTGTCCCTTTTTCCCCTTTCCCTATCCCTTCGGGGGGGTGTTTGGATTCCCTGTGCTGTGTACATAGCCATCTTAACTGTAATATACATAAAACATAATTTTTTATATAACTAGCTTGATTTTTGGGTTCTTCAATTTGCATAGTTTTTTTTCTTTGCCCTGAGGGAAGTAGAAAGGGGGGAAGAGAGGGGCTGCTACTGGGGGGTTGGGCATTTGGTAGGGAGCCAAGTCCAAACCATCACAGTCATAGACCATATTCTCTCAGGCCTGGCACTCCTGAAAATGACGTTTCTGAAATGTAGAATCACAGAATATTTTGAATTGGAACGGACGCACAAGGACAATCAAGTCCAGCACTTCAGTGAATGGCCCACAACCTTGGTATTATAAGCACTGTGGTCTAATGTAGTTTCTGAAACCAAGACAACTATCTACATGGACATTCCAGTTCAATATTAAGCTTTTTTATGCCGCTCTCCATGTCATCTTTGACATGTTCACTTTATCATTATGTATCACTTCAAGAATTATCTGTAGTGAATTTCAATCTTTCCCCCTCTGTAATACAAACTTTTTGTTTCCAGAATTAGAAAAGTAATTTTTTTACTATACTATTTATATTTCACAGTTTTCTTCTATTCTTTGCATTGAAAAGTACTCTCCATGCGAAAAATATGTTTTTAATCTAACATGTTGTTATAAAGAGTGGATGTAATTTGTGGAGAAAAGGCACTTTTGAAAGCTTACATGTATTTTGTGAGTTAGCAAAAATGTTTGGAAAAATTTGAAGGGCCCCAAACCTCAAACTTGTGGGGTCACCCCATCCTTCCTACATATTTGCAGCACCCAATCACAATTAAGGAAATTACTGTAGAAGTATTTATAAAAAGAAACACAATATGTTTAAGTTGACAACATATTGTTAAAACCACACTAGATCAATTGCGAATTTGAGATGTCATAAGTATTTTAGGCTATGCAATCAAATAGTCTCCCAGGATTTTACACAGTGCTAGTTAAGAAAACAAATTTTCGTCTTACATTTTGCAAGCTGTCACCTTATATACAGTATATCAGAAAACTTGCCATGACTGGTTTTACTGCCAGACCTCTTAAGAGCTAATTGGTTAAGCACCTGGGCAGGAAGTTTTTGGCAGAAATGCTCTTTTTTCTGCAAGGACTAGCTATAAAGTTCTGGATGGCAAATTGTGAGCATTAAGGCTCCCTCTTCTACAACAGAACACATAAAATGTAAATATGTTGCTAGGAGAAATTACGATGCATAAAAGGACAGGCTGTGTTTTAAGTTTATCCAGTGACTTATGGCTCAAATTTGAACATGGAAAGGATCTTGTGCTTTTTTTCAGAGTAAAGCTTTCAGCAGACTTCTCTAATTCCACACAGAAAAAAGAGAGGCACATCTGTTTGCATCCACCAAAACTGTTATTTGCATGTGCAAATGTTAACTTGTGTATACAAGGAGATGTTGCAAATACAATGACTCACCCTGGATTATCAAACGCAGGGATTTTGTACATGAAAAGTATTTTCCACAAACTTTTTTTTTTGAGTTGTAGATTAGAAGTCGTGCTGAAAATTTGTCCCCAGGAAATTGTATGTTTCTTGGTATTGTGTGAAAAATCATAGCATATTCAGCTGCCTGGAATGAGTTTAATGCAGTGGTTTGTGAAAACGCATTTGAATTCCAAATAATGTTTTGGGTTGATTTTGTTGGTGGAATTTTTTATTGCTCGTTATTCATAAGCATTGTTATGAATGCAATTACTTTTCCATTTGTGTTGATATCTGATATTTTTGGTTCTTTTTGGACAGAATATTCAGAAGAGCCAGATGCCAACTTTCTCTACAAATCACTGAGGGGAGAGGAGGTTTCTAATTTGCTCAAAAATACTGGAGTATTTTTTTACCATAAATTTGTTCCTTTATAAATATTAGCTCTCTGTAAATATATCTTTTCATACACAGACAGGAATACACAATAGTCTTTGTGGTCCTAGACAGAAATAGTGTAAATGGATGACGATTTGTTTTCAGGTTACTTCATTTTACTTGTGACTGTTAGTTGTTACTTATCCGTTTCCATAATTTAGATTTAAATTTGAACTCATTTATATGCAAATGCTAATATTTGTGCCTTAATTTTCTACACACGAGTTGTCTTGTTGAGCTCAGTGAAACTACCCACATCCTTAAAGCAGATGCATAGATTTGCAAGATCTGGAGAGCTGAAAGGAAATTATGTGATTTGAAGACGAATCACACACTGCTAGTAATAAATAGTAAATAGTTGGCTTTATACAGAATAGAGAGAACATCTATCTATGCATTTTGAAATATCCTTGGCATAATTTTTAATACAAATATCAAATGCCCATGCTGTTGTAATTAAGCTCCAGTAACATCAGGCTCTCAATAAGAAGAATAAAAAGCAGGAAATTTCCCCCTCACACTCAGTTAACAATCCTCAAGCTTCTTCCTCAGTTTCAACTCTGTGGCCGGGTGGTCAGGGAAGTGCATTATAGCCTGCCAAAGAGGTGGTTGAATTTGGCCTCTTTTAGACCAGAGCAGAGAGTCCTTCCCCCAAGATAATCCCCTGCCAGTTGTCTCCTCTGAGAGCTGTGCCAGAGCAGTGTGGGCTAGTCTCCAAGGGAGCTGGGGGTTGCTCTTGGCTCTGCCTCTGCCCAAAAATGTCATGCCACCCGTGTGGGGATCCGTCTTGGGATCCAAGAGATGCATTCTTCTCTTTCCCCTATATACTTTGCATACGCTTAGGGCTAAGTTTTGCCATTGTGCAAGTATGTGCATAAAGTAGCTTTAGCTGAAGAACAGGCCAGAGGATACTGGAGAAATAAGAGCACTGATTGAGTAAGAATGCCCAACTTGATTTCTTAGCGAGCCTTCCTCTCTTTCTCCCCTGTTTTTTACCAAAACCCAGCCTTGCTGGGCAATATGAATATTACTGAATGTTGGAGAAACTGGCAAACCACGGTAGCACTGATAGTCATGATTTAAAAGAGCTTCTGGAGAGATTGATTGTGCAAAAGGCTTGAATAAGAAATGATCAAGATGTGATCTTTATTAACTACAAGCATTTGCACAGTCTAAGCAAGGGAGAAACATTGATTTTCATAATAGACAAGAATATAAGAGAGTACAGAGACAAAAATAAGAAACAAATGATGGAGAGTGATTATCTGGGGCAAAAACTGAACTTACAACACTCTTTGATAACAGAATGATCTCTTAATTGTACTACTAGCAGGCTTTGTGTTTATTAGTTTAAAGGTAGCATTTACAAATGTTGTGCTGGCAAACACGAGGAAACAAACCTTTAATGACATGGAAAAAGATAGTATGGATTGTTCTGTTCTAATTTCCTGATTCCTATGTCTTAGGAACAGATGTTAGAAGGTATTATTTGTGGTAGAATCCACTCTGACAAATTTAGGCATCTAGGTTGTGCCTGTATTTCAAGTTCTCAGCAAAGATGACCCCATAAAAGTGAGTCATTTCCCTGTGAAACCATCAAAGGAAAGGTCTACCTGCAAATTTAAGAACTCCTCACACTGAACATGTGAAGATTTGCAGATCAGCATTGTTCTGTGGTGCAGAAGAAAGAACTACCCATCTGGGAGCTATGTGGAAAGGGACATAGGGAAGCTGTAGAAATGGGAAATTGTGGTATGACACAATTGGACAGATCCCCAGTTCACATGCTACACATGTCCTGCTAGGTTTAGTTCAGCAAGGGGAAGTACAAAGTCCTGAGAGAACAACCCCAAGCACCAGAATATGCTGGGGCCACTTGGCTGGAAATCAGTTTGGAGGTCCTGGTGAAAAGTAAGTTGACCATGAGCCAGCAATGTGCCCCTACTGCAGAGAAGGCTGGTGGTACCCTGGGCTGCATCAGGAGTGTTGCCAGCAGCTCTGCTCAGCATTGGTGAGGCCACACTAAGAGTACTGCATCCTAGATCCGGATTCCTCAGGACAAGAGAAAGATGGACATATAGGAGAGACTCCAGTGGGCCACAGAAAAGATTAAGCAACTGGAATGACTCTCCTATGAGGAAAGGCTGAGAGACTTTAATCTGAAGACTCAGAGATATCTCATCAGTTTATGCAAATGTCTGAAGAGAGGCTGGAAAGAGCAGGAACCAGGCTCTTTTCAGTGGTTGAAAGTGACAGGACCAGAGACAATGGGCAAAAACTGAAACACAAGAGGTTCCCTATTAACATCAAGAAATACTTTTTTACTGTGAGGGTGACCAAGCACTGTCATAGGTTTCCCAGGGTGGCTGAGGAGTGTTCATCCTTGGAGACAAAAGCTGTCTGGACAAGGTGCTGGGCATCTGTCTCTAGGTGGCCCTGCTTGAGGAGGAGGGTTGGGTCAGATGACCTCCAGAGATCCCTGCCAACCTCAGACACTCTGTGATCTCCTGATGCTGTGAAAGTCACCACTGTTTTGAGCTGAGAGCTGGTCAGGTTATTTTGGGTCAGTACTGGTTTGGATTTAAACCTTTGACTGGAAAATGTCAACACAGAGGAAGAAAATGTCTGTCATTCCTTTGTTAAACTTCCCCTCTTTTGCACCCCACCTGGAAAATATATTTACTAGGACTTCACAACAATAATCAATAATTATAATAATTAATATCTTACAATCAGAGCTATTTTTAGTGCCTCTGCTTGAATTCAGCTTGACTCTGCCTTAAGAGGGTATTTTGGATGCCAGGAGTGGCAAGAAGTAACACAGACTCCTAATCAGCTTGCAACTTTATCTGCAAGATCACTTCCCTCTTCCAGCCGGTTAGGATGCTGAAAGAGGTCACACAGGACATGAAACACTGCCACTTGCCTGGAAGGCTAGATCTCTGCTGGCTGTAAATCAGCTTGATATCCAGAGGTATAAGAAAGCTAGTCAATAGCCTTCACAATATGGGTCTTTTTGAGTCACTTATGATTTAGCAGATCCTACTTAAAATTGTAACATGAAAAAATTCACATATGTGAAGAAAAGCCTCCTCTCCCTAACCATGCACACACACTCCCCAACTCATATTTTTGAATTATGGTTCTGTCTGCAGACACTGCACAGACTGTTGCGACCTCGGGGCTGTGTGCTGCGATTGAGATCTGGATCTGCTCAAGCTCATCTGAATAATTTCTAGAGGAGTCAACTGGACCTTCTCAAAATACAGCTTCTCCAGGGCAAAGGCTTTGAATGGGAGGCTAATCTCTGATGTGTGTTGTTTTGTTGCTGAAGCTTTTGCCATTGCACTTCTGTGTTAGAAGCTGGAATTTGGCTTCCTGTCTGCCCAGTTTCTGCCTGAAGCAAAATTTTTATGGCTGAGCTGTGAACTCCTTAGTGGAGATGGTTGTAAAAGAAAAGCTTACAGCCTTTTTGACTAATTGTGGCCTTACCAGTGATTACCAAATTTTTTTTAACTTATTTTTAAAATTTTTTTCATCTCTGATCTCATTCCATGTTCCTGAGTGAGTTGGAGCTGGGATGTGAGTATAACATACAGTGGTAAAAATACAAAAAAAAAAAAAGAAAAGATGCTGGGAAAAGATTTTACAGTTTGAACAGTTTCCCACTCCCCAGACTTTGGATTAGGTCCTCACAGACCAGTTAGAAAGGGAAGGGATGGCAAGGTCACTGAGATGCTAATGATCCTTTTCCCAATGGAGAAATAATCTTATATGTAAGGCAAAATAATTCTCAATCCTGTTATAACCAGCAGCTCATTTTTTAAATTCATTAGTCTTAAAAAAGTATACATTTATCTCTGGTAATAAAAAAAATTCTCATAAATTAATCACTTCTAAGAATGCCAGAGTGTAGTTTTCATGAGACTGCACTCAAATCTGCAATTTCACAACTATTTTTGATGACTTTTTCCCCATTCCATGGACAACTACCCTTTCCACATGTGCTATGTGGCTATTGTTCCTCATAAAAATCAAGGGAGGACTTTATGCCTGTCATGACCGTTATATCTTACCTGGGCCTTTTCGTGGTCTTTCTGATACCTGAGCAGTTTCTTCAGGAATAAGCAATAAGAAGCCATGGCAGGAGAGGGTCTGTTATTTATTAAAATGTTGATAACTTCTGAAAGACCGAATTCCATAAATTTAATCATGTAGTTTAAAACAACAGAGTTCAGGTCACTGGGGCAAAGTCTGAAAAATTAGAAAAAAGTATTTAAATACAAAGGATGCATCCAGGTACAATGTCAGTATTTACAGTAAGTGGACAACACACTTCTTGTGATGTATCTGGAGTAAGCTAAGTTGATTGCACAGGCAAATTATGGTGCACAGTTGTGCAATGATCCTCTTGTCTGGCTATGCTAATTTCACTTCTGGGCTGAGGCTCTGTTACTGCATCATTAAATGTTCTATTGTTGATTTAATTGATTACTCTGAAAGGATACCCACCAGGATTAAGCCTGAAAAGTTTTCTCATTTTAATGAAGTGTGTGTATTTCAGTTCTCAGTACAGTAGCTCGAAATGGATTAACAGAGAGAAATAGTATGTGTGCATGTACATAAGAAGACATGAAGAGTGCTAAAGACAAGAAAATCTTGAAGGATAAAAAAAAGAACTGAAGAAAGTACAGTGGGATTTTAAGTTTTACATAAATCAGATTGTGAAATAAAAGATGTTTTGTTACAATGATAATTGTTTTACTCACAGGCTTCTTTAAGTTGTGAAGTCTAATAAAGGCAATGTAGAAATATGTCAGTCTTGGATTCTGAGACTCCAAATCTTAAAACCGTAAAACCATAAAGTGCCTTACTAAGAAAAATTGTAAACTACGTAAAGCCAGTTACAAAGATGGATGAGAATAAAAATTATTAGAATAACAGGAACTTCAGCGTAGTATAAAAATGTTGTTCCCTCAGGTGGGCATGTGAGACCTAGTTTTGTAGGAAAAGATCAGAAGCACACTGTCTAGAAATTAGTGGTAGCTGTGAGGCATGTTGAGAAAAAAAATTACTGTGACAATGGATATAAGCAGTTCTGTAAGAATGTTTCCTCTTACACAAAATTTATCCATGGCTAGAAAAGTTGATGTGATGTTTTCTGAAACAAAATTCTGTCATTTTGGAACAGCCCATAGTAGATAACAAAAATCTCCTAAAACAAACAAACAAATCTTAAACACACTTTCCTCTCAAATCTCCAATCCTGAAATCCCAAGGTAGAAGATAAATATCAAAAATGGTTACTTGTTCTCGTAGGGAGCAGTATTCAGTATTTTTCTGGTGAAACCTTCATTCAACCATTTGTCTTTTATTGCTTCTTTGACTCCAGGCCTCTTAGCAGGGTCAGGCTCAAGTAAGGACTGCATGAAGTGTACAGCTCCTGTGCAATATTATGATGCAATGGTTTGTTTACTAGTAATAGTTTATTATTGGAGAAGTGCATATTTTTTCTGTTTCAGAAATGTAACACTTGCCCTGCTTTTCCACATTGTAAGAGCTTCAGATAAAATTCAGTCTCTGGGGCTTTACTCTCAGTCTGCCATGGTCCCACATAGTGACTCTGTCCCCCCAAAGTCATCTGAACAGGGTGGGCAGCAGGAGCCAAACCATACCAGGATGCATGCTAGGGACCTATGGATGCTGCTGTAGATAGAGTACTGGACCTCACTTCCTAATTTTCTTGATTCACCCCAGTGAATGCAGCCTATGGCATATACAGCAATTTCAGTATTGTGCTCACTCATGATGAAGGTTTTAGGAAGGGGCATTTCAGTGCCAGCTGAAGTTATTTAACCCAGGAGTTCTTTTCCTCACACAAAGATGTCAATTGCGTTGATAAAAGTCTCCATAACGAGGGAAGGAGATAGACCCCTGTGCTCAGCTCATGTGCTGTGCTTTGGCTTCTTGGAGTTGGGACAGAGAAAGCTCAAACATTCCCATATGTCAATCACTCAGCTCCAACACTGCATAAAGTCCCTCTCTTTCTTTTCTTCTTGGGAAAACTTTACTGAATTCTTCTATATTCCCTGGGGATGTTTTGAAATGAACAAAACGGCAAGTGAGCATTAAACTTGGAACATACTGCTCCTTTCACTTGTAATTTCCATCGGAAGAGCTTAGATCTAAAGTAGGCAAAGCTAATTTACTACTGCTCTCTCACTAAATTCCCAGTGGGCAAGAGAACAATGGAGTTATCCAAAATCTTCCACCAACTGTGCAGGCTTTGTAGAAAATCAGAGATAATGCATTTATTAGTAGAAGCTATAACAATAACATAAATAAGAAAAATTAGAAATATAATAGTTGCAGCTATGGAGGGATTGTACAAGAATGAAGCTGCTATCCGGCAACTGATCTCCTGAGAAAGAGAAACGAGAGACTAATGTACAAACATTCTTGACAGCTATGGTAGATATCCTCATACCATTTTCTAGGGAAGAGAAAGAAATTGAATCATCACATTATCTAAATATTGTACTCCAGACTAGATCCAGCTAGCTTAGTCTGGAACTGTCCGCTGCTCCCCAGTGCTTGGCTGCAGGCTGAGCCACTGAAGCTAATCTTGGTTCCTAGGCTCATTCTTGCCTAATGTAGCAAAATGCTGTTCAAAATGCTGGGGAGATCTGAACTCTTGCTGGTAGATAGCTGTGCTAAACAGGCCTCATTCTGCTCTCCTTTCTGACTTGGTCAGTGAAGCTGTACGATAACAGCTGTGAGAAGGTGCCTAAGCTTGTGATGGTTGACAGAGGACATGCTAGCCCAGGTGGAGAGAAAATAAGGATTAGAGCCAGAGGTGTATAAGAATCACTGTAAGCAACGGAATTTTGAACTTTGAGGAAATAGATTTTGGACTGCTGACTGAGAGTGCATACACACCAACATGACTTCTAGGGTTTAGAGCCATGGTTTGCAATTCAGGCTAAAACTTTTGAGAACTGTCCCAGTTGTCCTAAAAGACTCCATTGACTGTACCTCATTAGAGATGGTCAGTAAAATTCATTGGGAAATGTTGTATTTCAGTTCTTTCTCATGAAAAATATGAACAGACTCTTCACAAAAATAGCCCTCCCATTTCTCTAATAATCTCAGTCTCATGGGCTCTGTCAGTAGCCAAAAGATAAGGTCTTCAGGAAAAAAATATTTAAAGTTTTGATAACTTATTTCTTATTGTAGGGGTTAGAACTTTTTTACATCGGTATTCTTTATAAAAATTAAAGTGCTTTACCAGGGGAGATATCTGACGGAATAGGGCTGATTTCTCCAATTAACATCTTTTGATGTAGTTGCTTGATATTAAAAGGTTCCACAGTGAAGGGTAATGTGCCAGTTAGCATAGCAAACATGCTTACTCCTCTGTCAAAGAAAAAGACAAACATCAGAGCTCCATACAATGCTAAAAAATATTTATTAAAAAATCCCACACAGTTATGAGTCAGTTTTCAGAGATTTGCCTTCAGCATCAAGAATGAGGTTACAAATTACCTCTAAGCAGCAATTTGTACTGAATACACATCTTACGCCTTTTTTCTTTGTGTAAATGCCATTTTATCTAGAAAAGAATGTTGTGGGAACTACATATAAAATAGAGCGTACAGTGAGTGACTGGAAAGCCTGCAGTGTTGAAAGTGGAAACCTGCTGTTTATTTTAAAAATAAGCTAATTGGAGTGACAGTGTAATGTACCCAGCCCATCAGAATAAAGCATTTTGGTTTGGAGGCTGAGTGACAACACAGAACTGGGACTGATGCAATAGATCTTGTTCCAAATAGTAATTCAGTTCTTCTTGCTTTGCTCAGATTGCTAAATTAGGTGTGACTTATGCCTAGAAGGCATTCGTGTGGTAACAGCTTGCTGTTGGCTAAAGACTTAAAGTTTTAACTCTTGCGAAAGATTAACAGTCTGCTAGCAGCAATCAGCAAACTTTGTGAAGGTTTGCCATTCAGTTTGGAGAAGTACCAACATTTGGAAAACTTGCTTAGCTGTCCTGAGTTTGCAAAGAGGGAGGTTTCCTTGAACACTCTCCATGGTACTTCCTTTCTCCAGCTGAACCACACCGCCACAACAGCACTGTTCTTCATCATAGAATGAATCATAGAATGGCCTGGTTTGGAAGGGACCTTCAAGATTACCTAGTTCCAACCCCTCTGCTGTGGGCAGGGACACCTTTCACTAATCCAGGTTGCTCAGCGTTCCTTTCAACCAGCCTTTACCACTTCTCTACAGAACTCAGCAGAGATAGTCATTGTAGGAATTCAGGTAATTCTAATTTAATTGACTTGGTTGGCACATTAGTGGAGATGATGATGGTGTTATCTGTAAGACAAATCTGGGGTGCGCTCAACTACAGTCTTCTATTAATGTTTTCAAACAGTTGAAAAACTATGCCTTTTTGGTTCCTATTGAAATTACTCCTTGTCAGTCCTGCTGCATAAAGTCAGTATTTCTGTACTGCACTGAAATATTTTGATTCTAGAGTCCAGTCAATCTGTAATCCTCTACTTATTTTATGACAACTGAAGTAACTTATCTTTCTAATTAATCTGTTAGTCCATCAAAATTCCCTTTCCCACTATGATAATGTGAACATGTCTTATTTAAATTGTAAATGTATTTTATGCCTGAGGTGCAGAATCTGTCTGCGTTACACACCAAGGGCCATACATAAGTTTTATATAGCCCTCAAACTGTTATATGCTGTTTATTAACAGAGTGAGCTCAGTAGACAGTTCTAGGGTTACTGCTTTGCCCTTATTCAGATATCTGAAATGTGAAATCAGTATTATCCTATTCAAGTGCTGGCAGCATCCTCTAGACCTGATTAATCTGTGTTATGCCTAAATACATTCAGAGTAGCACTCTTGAAAACCAGACTTATACAGAAGTAATTTGATAGCATGTATCCCTTCATCCTTTGTGTACCATTCACATCCAGTAAATTTAGAAGAAGCTGAGGTATAAGAATCATGGTTAAATCAAAACCCTAATATATGGTATGTCTGTCAGAAGCAGGTCTTGAGAGGAATAATGTATGTCATATATCCATATGTATATAAATCCTTTTTCTCTTCTGAACATACAGGAAAACTAAGCTTCTGTTTTAGGCACCTGAATCAGATGCCTACATGCAGTTATCAGCAACCCTGCAGAGCAAACTAAAACACTTTGTCCTTTGTGAACACCCAGTTTGTTAAAAACTGCTGAGAACTCCTCAAGGAGACTGTATTCTTGCAGCTGGACAGGCAAGTGTGACATTCCAGTGCAGAGCAGCTCTGTACATCCAGGCATTCCTTTCCTTTTGGCACATGTCCTGAATGAAGTGGTTTAAATGAAACACAGCATTGTGTGCTGAACAGAATCACAGAATGGTGGAATTATGTTATAATTGCAAATAGGTGGGAGGAATCTGGATGAAGGTGCATTTTATCAGCCACTGATTTTTTTATCCTTAATGCTCTAGGCACAAATTTGGTTTAGTTTATATTACACATGCTCAGCTTCTATGCCCTGTATCCTACTTGCTAGAAATGGGCTTAACAATGTATCCTAGGTGGAACACTCAGACCTGGGCATGCAGTTACTATCAAAACAGCTGAGAAGAAGTTGATACTCTGGCATATATACATATATATATATATATATATACACACACACACACACATATCGGTAAATATGAACTGCCTTTGGACAAATGATCGCATGGACATGGAGAGTTGGCCCATAAAGATCAGAGGATACAAAAATCAACCTAATATACTATAATTTTGCCACCTCCATCTAGAAAAAAAATGTAAAACCCCCCATAACTTGGCTGCTAGAGCTGCAAACTGCAAATGCATTTGAAAGGTCTGAGATGATAGTTTATGTGAAAACTTACTCTTCTTATGGCACTTTCTGTATTCTTGCTTGTTATAGGAGACATATTCTGCAGATTTAATAAAAAAAGTAAATGAATTCCATTCAGGTTTATATCATCTACCAAGGAAATAATTCTACCTTTTTATCACAATTTGGTACAAAGGGCCTAGCCAAGGTATGGATGAAGGTCTCATAGCCCTACTATAGCCACATCCTAGGTTTGTGTGTCCCTGAGACTCAAATTTTCCCTATAGATTTCTTCTTTTGGCAAAATATGCCTTAGACAGAAAATGCCCCCTTGTCAGCCCAGGACTTTCAAGGTTTCTGATTTTGTCAGAAATTACTCTGCTACCAGCTGAAACTTTGTGCCAGAAGGACAGGGGGGTGGTAGGGTTCCTCGGAGGGGCTTGGTACATACAAGTTCTTTCTCTGGCTTTTTAGTACAAGTTCCTATATGCAGACATCTGACCTTCTGCTGACTTCTCTTGACACAGAATTCCTCCAGAATACCATGTGTATTGGTAATTCGTTTTTTTTGCCAGTGTTTTAAAATGGAGGCACATTTCAAGATGCTCAAGTGTTTTTTTTTCTGATGTATCTTTGTTTTGCCGTTGATGCCCCAAAGCTGAGAGCCACGAACCCATTTATATCAGTCTTGCCTAAACAACTCAGTGCTGAGAGTGTTTCGATAAGTGCATTTTTAGATCTACTTACATGGACCAGACATCCACCTTTGGACCGTATTTCCTATGAGCAAGCAGTTCTGGCGCAGCATAAGCTGGGCTTCCACACTGAGTACGTAACAGCTCCTGGGAGAGACCATCGAACCTTGCAGCATTGCTCAGCCCAAAATCTGACAGTCACAAAACCAAAGGCAAAGAAGTTTTAGTCTCTTCTCAAATTACTGTCACTTTACCAATTATCTGAAGACAGGAGAAAGACAAAACCAGCAGCTAAGCTGTAACATCTATTGATGCCTTAGCTGTAGTTGCCAATTTTGGTTTGAATAAATGTGCCGTGAATTAGCAGAGGAATTACAGTGAAGTTACAGAGCCACTGATCCGGTTTGGTTGATTTTGGTTTAACTGTTTCAGTTTACCTCTGCTGACTACATGCTAGTACACAGCTACACAGTCGCATTAGCAAGGCTTAATGAGCCACGGCATTCAGCTCAGCTGGGTGTGCTTTAGCTCGCGGTAAATGAGGGGCAAAATGTGCTAATTTAAGCCTTTTTCTCTGTATATGTGCATGTGTGCAAGGGGGAGGGAAGAGAAAGGTGTGATTGTAAGGGACTGGCTGGCTATAAAACAGGGGTGAAGAGTTGGTGCCCTTTTTTGTCAGAGGTGCTAAGCTTTTAAAAGTTTAGGAAACACTGGGTTAAACATGTGGCTTCTCTAAGAGTTAACATCCCTTGTGGAGATTTTTCTGTGGTGTTTCCATAGAATAAAATTAGTTGTTTCTCTGAACTGTGTTAACTGCTTGGTGCAAATTCTCTTATTTTTATCAATGTTTACTTCACAACTCTAGCAAGATTTCTGTTGGTGACCAAAAAAAAGTGGGTTTTTTTCTTTTTTTAACACATACCAAATGATGAGGTCTGTAGCTGAAGTAATGACTCAACAGAAACTAATGTGTTCATACCTGCATTTCAACCCAGAAGATTTATTTCTTTGTCTACAAATCACTTCTGCTAGGAACAGCTTTCTACACATAAAAGCTGTAATTGTTTCTTGATTCTCCAGAAATACACAAGGGAAAACAATAGGCAAAATTGTTTTCCTTGTTCTCTTAAAAATATGTTTCAGTTAATGCTCAGATAAACAAGCTGTTAAGCTATACTTCATAACTTGTATTTATTCTAAAAGCTCAAATATGTCTTTTGAATAATCACAAGCTCACTCAAAAAACATGCTGTTTGAATAGTAGCCAAGCTGTCACAGAACGACACACACACACACAAAAGCAGAAAACAAGCTTCACTGATAGTGTGCACCTACCAATGATTTTGATGTTGTTGTTCTCATCAAGAAGAAAATTTTCAATCTTTAGGTCCCTGAGAAGAAGACAGAAAGCAAATTTTAAGATGCCTGATGTCCTAGCTAACCATTTGCAGATAGTTTTTAGCAAAGTTAAATTGAAATAATAACAATAGTTCTGCACAGCTCAGCCTGCAATTGTAACAAGATCCTTATTCCTTCCTGAAGTTTTCAGTTGGGAAAATGGAAACTTTCTGTTCAGGGAGTATTTTATGAGTATACATTTTAAAAAGACTGTTAATTTTAGGAATTACCTGTTCTGCTGATTTTTACCTTTTTTTTTTTTTTTTTTTTTTTTTTTTTTTTTTTTTTTTTTTTTTTTTTTTTTTTTTAAATGAACTGCATTTATTTCTTATTTTGAATAAAAAAATTTGCACTTTTTGGATTGAAATTTTTTTGGGCTTTGTTTGTAGTACTGAGGAATGCTGAATATTTCTGATTTCTTTGTGAGTAAATTGTGCCTGGGAAATATGAAGGATGAGAAGGGAACTAGAAAGTGAGGTTTGCCTGGCTTGCAGAAGAGGGGAGGTGTACCAAAGCTGGTTTGGAAACAGATACCCTGAAAGTGGAGTCATCTCTGCAGTGATGTTTAAGTAAACAGGGTCAACCAGCATCAACCATCCCCTCCCAGAAGGACATAATTCAGAGATGTAAGAAAAACTCTGTTAGCTGGCTCAGGTACTTTTCTTGTTTATTGTGGGAATACTTATATATTTATAAATTAAAACCCAAAGCCAGAATATTGTTCCACTCCGGAGAGTGCCTGAAATGGCAGCTGAAATCTTTTGCATCATGGAGGAATCCTCACTCAGTGTAATTTGGGTGTTGGGAGCCAGTCCAAGAGCCTGCAATGCTTTCCTGACTCCCATCAAAGCCTCTCGCATGCCACTTCTAGGGGAGCTGGGGGGATAAAAAAAGTTTCAGAAGCAGCTTCAGGATGTGGATTTCCCTCACACCTGCTCTGAAGTTGTGAAGTGCTTTTGTGAGCCCAAAGACCTCAGAAAGCACAGGAGGACAAAACAGAAGGGGGAACAGGGAGTAAGGGCTGGGTGGATTGGTGCTGCATGAGCAGCACTGCACTGCTGCAGGGTATGAAGTCTGGAGATGCACCTGGTGGTCATAATGGGCATTTTCATGGGAGCTTCCTTTTATCTCCGTGGCTCTGGATGGGACAGCACTGCACTCAAAACCGTCTGCTGCCTTAGGCTGAGAGTGGGATGGGGATAGTTTTAATGATATCTTTCTAATAGGTTTCAATTCGAATAGCATGTTTACCGGAGCAGCAAACAAACCAGTGCCCAAAAGCTGGGAGGTAGATTTAAGATAACTTTGTTCATAGTCTCCAGGTGTTATAACCCCGTGCACTCTGTGGTTTAAAACTAGCTATGTTTCAGGCCACTGCAAATCTGACATTTCTATCAGATTTTTCACTCCACAGTGCACTCTGATGACTTTTACTACACTACAATTAAATAATGTTACATTGGATTGTTACGATTGCTGTTCTATAGGCTGAGCTGACTGCTCACACAGTTAATAAAAATGTATGCTTTCTTGCCTGAAAAAACTGATAATGGCTACTATGAAAGTTTACATAGTGTCAGAAGTTATTTTGCATCAAAGATACATCTTGTTCTTTTTTTTTGTTTTGTTTGTTTGTTTTTTCCCCCCCAAGGAATATTTCCAAGAAATGTTGTAAGTTTAAGCAACATCATGATTTTTTATTTTCTCTTTTCCATGGGGACTTCAGAGAGAGAGCCTAGAGGGCAATTTGTGATGTTTCTCCTGGTCTTTAGTCCAATAGGGATTCAAAGGGATATATGACATTTTTATACAGGAGAGTGGAAAAGAGCCAGGAAAAATTAGGAACTGTACATACAAGCAAGTAAATGTCACCTGGCAAGCACCAGATTTAGGAGTTGGTAGCTGATTGTTTGCATGCACTAGCCCAACCCTGTTGCAAGACAATGTGATTTAGCTTACTCATCTTTATTTGAGGTTTTTAACATCAGAAGCATTACCTCACCACTTGGCCATGTCCAAAGCAGGCATGGGGATAGTAAGCAGACCTCAGATGATGAGTGTTAGCTTGTTGAGCTGTTGAACCAGATCTAGTGCCTGAGCCTTCTTATATCTAGCACACTGAAGTGTTGTGTGCTGGGACAACTGGCAAGCAAGTCAATACTCTGTCTTCTGCATCATTTTTGCAACTATGACATAAAATCAACTGTAATCTTGCATTGACAAGAAATGTTACTACCTGTTCTGTGAAATGTAGACTCAATTTAAGCTGTAAGGATTTGTTGGATCACTGCTGATATTAATGCTAAATTGGAAAAGTAAATCTCAAAAAACAAAATAGCTGTCTGAACATAGTGTAGAATTTATGTTGAGAGGTATCAATTTGGACTAAAAATAGTCACAAATTTGGCCAGTTTTTCATCAAGTATATTATTAAGACAGTAGAAAATATTGTTTTTCTGAAGTATATCCAGGGTTAAAAATCAGGAATGCCCATAAGACATTTTTGAGCAAAAGTACACTAAATTAGCAAATTCCTAAGAGATGAGCTTGGGAATGTGACCAGTCACCTCCATTTTAGTAAAATAAAGGGACCCC